CTCAGCTCATCAGCTAGGTAAGTTGTGTGATTTAATTTACAAATACAAGAATTATTAATTCTAGATATATTTATAATGTTATTTAAAATTTGTTAAGAAAATAAATGTATTATGAAGATTCCAAAAGTAAACATGACAATACATTCAAGTATTCACGTATAAACAATCAGCATATTCATACGAAAAATTGAAGTTTAAAATATGAACAAGCATGATTGTTTAAATCTTTTCTTAGTTGGTAAGATTTTGAAAAGAAGTTCACGCCCCTATGCCATCTTGACATCTACATATCTCGATGATGATGTGATGCGATCAAAAAATATAGGGGACCCTATATTTTTTTATCACAAAAAATAAAACGAAACGACACCGACAAAGCAAAGACTAGAAGAAGAAAGAACAAACTCCTACACATTTCAAATAGAACTAAAAAGAAGAAATTACAACGATGACGGCTTGCAAACTTAAAATTAAAGACGACACCCTAAAGTTGCTTCACTTAGAGAAGAAGGATACAGGTAGAGTGGCACTTGCGGAGAGACGAAAGAGATTAGAAGCCCGAGAAGAAAGATTGGAAAGAGCCCGCAGGATTTCCGGAGGGGATGAGAAAGAAGGGTGGAAAGAGCCCGTAGGATTTCCAAAGCAAACCCGTAGGTTATAACTTTTCCAAAAATCACATTTTCATAACTCATACTTCAAACATTACAAATCCTCCCATATTTATAGGTATGAAAGAGGAATACAAAGAGACACATTACATTAATTATCACAAGAACCTAAACATCACAAGCATTAATCCCAAATGCTATGCACGAAAAAACACACCCAAGCCAAGGAACCGAAGAGGCAACCGCGGGAACCAAGGAGGCCGCACGGTTCCAAGGAGTCACGGCCACGGGAAAGAGCCCAGGCGCGGGAAACCAGCAGCCGGCCGGAATCCAAGGGGGCAAATGCAATGAAAACTAAAGGCCATGGGCAAATGCAATGAAACCAAGGAGTCATGCATGGGAAAAGATAATTCTTGAAATTCCAAAAGCCGGTTTGGAATTCCAAGAGACCTACATAATTAAAAGCATAAAAAGTACATTAATTAAAGATAATAAATGAACTAAAATGTTAGCTAATAATGAGCTAACCCTTAGTTCAATAAATGAACTAAAGATCAGCTCATAATTTCAGCTCAAATTTATTTGAGCTAGTAGACTCAAGGGAAGCCAAAAATTTAATTATTTTTGACATGAGTTGACCCCCCCTTTGTCTACATCATGATGTCCAACATCATTTCAGCTTTGACAGCTTATGCCCTCTCGACATCAACGCCAGACGCCTGACACACAACATTGATGCCCGATTCTCAATAGCACTACTGTCTCCACTATTAACACTATAGCTAGTAACTAGAGTTTTGAATCAAGACATCTTTCTCTCATATTTAGCAACGCATCAACGGTAAGAGAAATTTCTCCCCACATGAGGAACTTCTTTTTATTGTTTTTATATTCAAAATAGTATAAAAGAGATTTCTCCCAATCTAGACCATGCAACTCTATAAAGTGAATATTAGAGTACGATTTATTATGCCTTTACTATTCTTAATATTTTGCTTATTTTTAATTTCTATGCACTATTTTGGACAAATTTTTAAAATGAATACAATAAATAATTTAATAAACGAAAAGAAAATATAAAATATTTATTTGGATAAAGCAGGCCAACCGGCTTGTCGAGCTGTCGTTTCATACATCGTGGTAGATGTGCTAGTCGGGTTTGGTCGTCGAGTTTGGCTGGCTGCTTATGGTCTAATCTAGTGTACGGGTGTTGATCGGGTCAAGCGGCCTAATTGGGTCAGCGAAAGTCATTAAGTGAGGAAACGACTGAGCATGTCATTTTCTTTTCGAATGACTTCCCATTCGTTATTTTTATCATGACTTCCGTGGGGCGACATGACGAGCCTACCGGGTAGGATGGAGAGGGAGGCGAGATCAGGCAAAAGAGTGAGCTGCAGCAGCTCACATGTGACGAGATCGAGCTCCAGTCGCTCGTGTGAGGTGAGATTGGTCGGGAATGTGATATGGTGGCTCGCGTGGGGGTAAATGGAGCTGTAGGACATTCACAAGCCCGCACGGGAGAGTTTCAGTGATTAAGATGATGTTCACATGGTCGAAATTATTTTCTCCTTCTCAACAACTCCACATTCCTTTTCCCTTCGTTGTCTTCTCTTGTGCAGTAGCTATTTTGTATTCCTTTTAAAGTTTTAATGTTTTCTTTTCACTTATTAAAGGAATATAACATATGTATTTCTTTTCGCATATTTGCACCAGGGAGTTGTTAACAAAGTTAACGACTGGCCTCCTTTACCCCAATAATTTTTTAATGTTTTCTTTTGGCTTATCAAATTATTTACTTTTTTCCTTTAAAAAATTTGTTCCACTATTTTTAAAATATAAATTTTATAATGATGTATCCAAATTATATATGTATATTATATTTTCAATAATTGATATGTCTTGTGTCTGTGTCGTATCCTCGTCTGTGCATCCTACGTGCCTGCTCTTGGTAGCTTTACTGAAGAGGTGTTTGGATCTTTCTACAAGACATTGAAATTTCTTTATCCAATCTTGGAAGTTCCCCCTCTCCCTTGCTTAGTGAAGATATAGTTGACTATGATGTTATGCATCTTGAGGATTTTGATGGGAGCATTATGAGTGAAGACATTATGGTGGATAGAAGATTTTGAATCCTATTTATCAAATGGAATCATAATTGAAAAAAAATATATTGTCACTCTATGTTTTCATTAGGTGCAAGCAAGTTTGTTCAAATGAGTTCCTTTTGCCCTTTTGTTATTTTCCTTTACTACTGCATGATTCATCCTTTGGCTGCTTCATAGCCTTGTCCTTCTGTATTTTCCTTTGAACTTTAACAAGTCTTGGTAAATTCCCTTCCTAAATTCCTATCACCGCCTTTCCATTACTCCTTCGATAACATCTTCGCTGCTTGATTTGTGGCACACCTCTCTTCAACTTCTTTGGAAAATTTTTCTTTGGGCTGCTCCAACCTAGAGGTTGTTTGTAATTTGATATTAGATTTACACTTGATTAGTAACTACTCCATCGGACTCATTGACCCACATCATGTCAATATAAAAATATCCTTAAAATGAAATTACATCAGACTTCCTCTTAGCAATCCTACTATGTTAGTGGATATTTTATGCAAATGAAAAATGATTGACACTTCTATTACAGTGGTTGCACCTTAATCAGACAGGTTTGCACTTAGAAATTGGAACCAAATTAGACTCTCCTTTGAATTTAAAGGATATCATGCCTACCCTTGCTAGTCTAATTGAGTTGAACACTACATCATCTACAAGCTGCGTGATTGATATCGATTGTGTATTCTTGAAACACCTATTCTCTCACCAATTTGTAAAGACATTAATGATCATGACCCTCAAGAAACTTATGATTAAGACATAAAAAACTTTGTTGACACACTCCTTTATTTGGCAGGCTTAAAGCAAGACGCCAAATGAGTGTTTTTTTTCATAGTTTTTGCTATCCAATGTCCTTTAACCCTTCGCTACATTATTTCTTTATCGTATATTATTTATTTTTCTTTTTTTGGCAACTCTTCAAAATTATTCTGGTTGTACTCATATTATTTTCTAGTTTTTTTTTTATATTATTTTCTAGTTATGATATCATATATTAACAAAAATTGAAGTATATTGTCATTTCATTCAAAATGTTGTATTTCTGAGAAGATTGTCACATTTCAAGTATCCAATTAAGAATAACAGTATGATATTTTTACAAAGCATTATGTTCTCTAAGTTTTCCTTTATTATGTAACAAGTTGAAGCAACTAATATATATGCTTTATCTTAAACGGAGTGTTAGCATAGGAAAAAATCAAATTAAAGAAGTCTTTTATAGTGGATGAGTGGTATATGCTTTTTTGATTATGTCGTCCTATAGTGCATAATACACACCAAAAAAGAACTTTCTCGCCTAACAATTACGTTCTTCAGGTTTATCAGTTAACCTAGAAAGGAAAAAAAGTGATAACATTTCAAAACCAGCGTGTTGCATGAAATTCAGGTCAAGCAAAAAGAGTAAGAATGTAAATCATTTATGGCCACCGCCGAAAAAAACTTAAAATCATAAAACGTGATATCTAGCAGTGATATCATAAAACTTAAGAGTTGGTAAAACGTGATATCTAGCTGATCATTTTGGACGCTAAGGTTTAAGAAAACATAAGAGTGCGTGATTTTTTTTTCCCTAAAAAAATTAAATGGCCAATATTTCAAAGTTAAGGCATTGTTTGAAAAGTAAATTGAAAAGCACAAAAATATGCTATATAGCATTCATTAAGACGCTGGAGTTGAAGTAATAAAGCATTGTAGGAGGAATTTTTGTCCATTCTGAGATTGTATGAAATAGAAAAAAATGCATTATTTTCCATTCACAAAAATACTGCTGCATAATATACTGCTTTTCATAACTAAACAAAATTAACCAAAGGTTTTTAAACGAACTTTTGCCAGGTCATACCAAAATAAACATCAAGGTAACTTCGAGATCAAAATGAAGTTCATACTTGAGGATAGCTACACGGATGATGAACACTACACCCAAAATGGCGCTATCCCAAGTAACACATTCCTTGAGCACTCTAGGCATCGGAGGAAACTTACATTGGAGTTCACTAACTTCTGATATTAATTGAAGCATCCACTCATCGTGTATACCCACTTTTCATTTTATTATAAAACTAAATTGAACCTTTTTCATTTGCTAAAACTCACTATATAATCCGCATGCACTTTACATGCTTTCAGAGTAATAATGTCAATAACAAGATTCATTTCCTAATTAGTTGATCTACAAGTTTCACTTAGTTTTGAAATAAATAGGCCATACAAGCATCCAGGTTAACCTATGTTGCCTATTCTGGCTATGGTAGAAAGAAAGTAGCTGATGAAGGCTTACTGTTCCTGCCGTAGAATAATGGGAACCATAGTGGAACTTGGGTATAACAGGATCATCAAAGCCAGAGTACCTCTCTTGGAACTTTTTCAACCTTTCAGGATTCAATGCACCAATAGGCTGAAATTTATAGCGTCCATACGTTAAGTTAAGACTAATTAAGTTAAGACTAACTACTGATCATATATAAGAGGATTTAAACAATAGTTTCTACCTTTGAGAGATCTCGATACAAGGTAGGATCATTAAGATCCAACGTCTTAGAAGAGTAATCAGCTAAAATCCATGGAAAAACCGGGTACTGTAAACAGTTTATGGAACTAGTTGGTAAATTACTGCAACATAATGATAGAGGAACACCACCATAACACCCCACCCATCAACCAGAAGGACACAGACCTGTGTGATGTCATTGTAACTGCGTCCAGCCATTGTGTTCAGCTCCATAAGATATTCAAAATTACTAATCTGCACGAAAATAAAAAAAAAAAATGCTGTAATGCCAAAAATAATGATAGAATGTGCTACAAGGATAATAAAATGTTTTGGAGATTACCTCCCACCTAGCCCATCTCTCCATCAGCTGGCTCCGCTTAAATAGTTGGTCAGGTCTCTACAATCAAAAAGGATGGAAAATAAGACATGCAAAAGCATGAAATTACGCCAGTACAGGATTTTTGCCAACCTGTGTTGCCAAGTAAATGTTGTTCAAATGAGGAGGTTTTGCTTGAACAATAGCACGATAGGCATCCTTACGAGCTTCAGTGGACTGAAATATATTTCAAGTGATATTTTGGTGCTAATAGTTAGCCAACTATCAAAAACCAGCAATAAGAAAAATAGATAATTAATTCACATTTATTTTACCCCAAAATCAAAGAAAAAGTTTGTCCGATCAAAAAGAAACAATTCTAAAGCACTCCTCCTAAGCAGATACCTGCGCAAATGACAGGCAATAAATGCACAACAATAGATAATCTGGGCTGCTGAAGAAGTAGCAATGAAAGTTCTAGCATTGGATAAATTCGTAACCTAGCATAACAGCTAAAAAGACCGGTACACCCATTCGAACTAAATTATTATTATTATTATTATCTATGCACATTCATATTTTGAATTTAAATATTTAGTAGGATTGGATTTAATTTTAGAAATGATTAAGTTTAATTTCAAATTATATGGCATTATGTTATAATCATGTTTCTATAAATAGGAAATCATGGCTTGTATTTAGATCATTAACAACTGCCATCAGATGAATAAAAATTATTCTTCATGCTTATTAGGGTGTTCTATCTTGATAATTGGTACATGAGGATCTGTGTAAATTCTGTATGCGGAGCTTTCCTTTTATTCACCCTTTTTCAACCTCCCACTTCCATCAATACATGTTTATTTGAATCCCTTTACCTTCTTACAATGACTGGCCACAGAACAAAGAAATTTAAAAAGAAGAAAAAGAAATCAAAAGAATAAGTTTCGAGTACCCACCTTCTACTGAACATCTGATGAAGTGAAGAGATTAACCAGCTACGATCTTTCTCATTTTGATAATTGGGGGCCATAGGGTCCAGCATAGAACTTCCATTGCCATGCTTATGAATTAGAAAATTAATTCTTTTTGTAGTAATCTGTAAAGATGATGAATTCATGGTTACTCAGGAGCAATGATAGCAAGCAAAACAACAGAGCTTGTAACAGTGGCTTAAAACAATTTAGTAATTGTATACAAAGAGATATCAAAGGTAAACTAGATTGATCTTATTCTTGAGATTAAGCAATACTGTTCATAATGAATGAAAATGAAGTCAGGTTTATTCATATTTCATAGCAGCGTACATGGTAAAAACCAACAAATTGAGACCTCTGTTTTGTGTAATCGTTCACAGCTGACAGATTAAAGACCAACTTGAGCTGCTAACACTTGTTTGGCTAACTTTAGTAGAGAAAAAAAAAAGATCAGAAATTTAGACGATCAAGCTTAGAAAGAGAAAGTTGACCAAAGTCTCTCTTGGTGCAGGTAACACATCTACATAGAGGAAACATCATGCGAACAAATTGTGTTGCTTTCTATTAGCGTAGAATTATACTATATAGAAAACTTCTCTATATACAGAGAGAGATGCCTATTATTTAAATGTACCTTAGAACATTATGCTTGTTCCAGATTATAAATATGACAAATTTCTAATAAATAAAACACTAATTTTCTCCACTATAATTGTATAATAATCAAGTTAGTCCTAGTTGCTACCTCCCCCTCACCAGGTTGCTGCTGCGTGAACTAGCCGGCATGCACAAACTCATATACAACACTTGACATGCACCTAACCCACACACTGCCACCTATAATCATACATATCAATCGTGAGTGCTATTTGTTGCCATGCATGAACAATACTATATAGCACATAACACCATAGTGCACGCCATCTTAATTTTTAAGATTTGGGTTTTAAATTAATATACTGTAAATGATATGCTTATTAGTGTTGTTTAATTTCAAATTGTGTTTATTAGGACATCTGGATGATCTCAAATGCAAGGCTTGAAGTTCTTAACTTTGCTTCACACATGCAAGTTTATTAGTCTCAGGGTTTGAACCAGCTCACCTTCGACGCCCCAAAGAATGTTGCTCTCCTCTCTGACATGACAAATGAAGGGTTGCAAGGCTTCGATGAAGAAGGGCTCTCAGGTTTGATTTCTCTCCGTTTTCCATGCAAGAAGGCTTCAACCAACTCTCCATACTCGCCTCACACAAAGGCGATGATGTTCCCATCCCATTGCCTGAAACACATGAAGCTGCCAAGGCTTTGATGAATAAGGTCTCTCGAATTTGATGCTTTCATAGCTCTTGCCTCACATGAAGCTTCTATTCTCTCGCTGCTCTTGCTTTGCATGAAGGCTACGAAGTTCTTGCCACTTTGCTTTTGATGCAAGAAGCTTGCAAGGCTTTTAATATTTTGCTAGAATGCTCTCGACATAAGATTTGTGCATTGTTTGTTCAGATCCTCTTTCGATTGGTTTAAGTTGTACCATTGATGCATTCATATTTTTAGTTTATTTTTGTTTTAATGTATTTTGAACAATATTAGTTGTGTTTTATGTTTTTTTAAGCTATCCTATGATGGTTGGGCTTCCAATGATCATGGTAGGAATGTGCTAGGCATGGCAAGCCTTGGGTTTGCTTGCTCTTGGGTCCATTTTGTCCTTGGGCTGCTTGTTCATTTCGGTTTGGAGAGGTTGATGTTCTCGGGTGGGCCTTGTTAGCTTGGTGTTGAGCTCAAAATGCTGGATTCTACTTGGTGTTAGCTCATAAATGTTTGAGCTGAAGTTTAACTCAATGATTGGAGATTAAATGCACTTCCTAGCTCATTAAATCAAAAAGGTATGCTTTTATTTCAAGCTCATTATTGAGGAGTTTATTGGAGTGGACTTGTGCCTCTTCCCCTCCCTTTGCCTTCTCAATTTTCCCTTGCTGGTTGGTTTCCCGTGCTCTGCCTCTTTGTCTCCTGTGCTGGCTTTTCGGGTCCCTTGCTGGCTGGTTTCCCGTGGCCTGTTGCTTTGTCTCCTATGTTGATTTTTCGGGTCCCTTGCTGGCTGGATTCCCGTGGCTGTTTGGGGGGGAATTCCATGGAATTTTCCCTGTTTTCTGTGCAGATTTCCTGCTGCTGTTTGGCCTTCTATTTGGTGACTTTTGGCCTTTCATTTCCCCAATTCTTATTGGATTTGGTTGGAGGTGTTATGACTATTTGTCTACCTTCTTTTGCCTATAAAAATGAGTTGTTTTGGCATGAAAAAGGTTGTTGAAAATTGTGAGCAAAGTCTCTACAAAAAACCTGAGGGTTTCTTCTCTTGGAAAAGCTTGAGAGCTTGTTCCACCCCCCTTTCCTACTCTCTATTTCGTCTTGGCTTCTAACCACTTCTTCTCTACGCAAGTTCCACTCCACCTGTATCCTTCTTCTTGAGCTTTGGAAGTGTATGTTGGCTGAAATTTTGAGACATTTGCCGGAGGAGTTTGGTAGGACGTTGGACTCTTTTGCAGTGGTGGACCCTCGGTTTGCAAGCCTAAGCACAATTTTATTATATATTCCTACTCTCGTTGCATGTGAGGAGACCGCTAGACAGTTTTTACTGAGGATAGCATTTTATGGTTTTTATTTTGTTTCGTTCGATTTGGCTTTTTGTTTCTTCGAAGTTTGTTTGGTTGTTTGCAAGCTACATTTGAATCGAGTTTGGTTTAAGTCTTGTCCTGTTGTTCTCCAATTTATCTATTTACTCTAGTTTTGCTCGCATCAATCATGATTTCTTTTTCTACATATTTGGTGCATGTTAGGTGATGTGATAAGCTTTTCTTCAGAGTTTTTATGGATGATTAGCTATTTGTTGATTAATTGTTCAATAAATAATTTATTGTATAGCCTTTTTTCAAGAAATTAATATATCTTATGCCAAAAATGTGAAACTAATTCCATTATATTAACAAGTTGATAAACATTTTCGATTGAGTCATTTTGGAACATATATTCATTCATTTTTTTCTTATTTCTATCATTAATTTTATCTATTAGGTACCCAAAAGAATGTCAGATTTTGGACAAACTGCAAAGAAAGATTAGTCATGTAAATATGCAATCCTGGAAAGATACAATAATAACAATTACGTGATATATATGTATTGTTGTAACATGACAAAAAGAGAAATTACTGAATACTTTTTATAAATGAAAAAACCTTTGCACGTAATAGCTCATCTCTAAATTCCTGAATACTTTTTAGTAACCCTAACATTACAAAAGACAAGGAAATTATTAATTGTTAATATGCATGTATTGAAGGATTTTGTTAGGCCATTGTTAGGCCGGCACCTGAGCCGACTGGACCGGTCCAACCTGGACCGGTCCAACCTGACCGGTCTAGGTTTATTCCCGGCGGAAGCCAGACGAACAGGGGGAGGGCGGAAAAGCTAGGGGGCCCACTTGAAGCCAATTTCAAATTGTGGAAGGAAGAATTTGAATTAGAAGGGGTAATTAGGTCTTTTGTAACTCTCCTTTTATGTTTAATTAGGGAGAGGAGGGGGGAATTAGGGTTATCTTGATTTTGAATGTGATTTGGGAGATCTAGGTTTTTCTTTTTGGGCTCTAGGCTACGACTAGAGATTTGGAGAGTTTTTCCTTCCTATCAAATCGAAGGAAACTTGTATCTTTTTTGTCTTTTGCATCGACTAGTGAAATTCAATCGTTTGTTATTGTTTTTCCTACGATCTCTCTCAAATTTTTTCAACTGTTTTTTTGTGTTTGGTGGCTGTTTTCCCATAGAAAACAACGGAGTAGTTGCGATTTGGCTTAGATCCGATAGGAATCACTTGAAATACTTAAGTGGTACCTATCAGATTTGTTAATGATGTTGATGAAGAAGATGAAATTAGCAATAAATTGAAAGTATATATATCAGGGTGAATTATTTTTAGGAAACTCAGGACACAGGTCATATGAATAGTAAAATTATAATTAGTATTGGATAATATTTTAACAATTAAATAAGAATTAAAGTTGTTAAACACTTCAAGTTGATTGGCGGCTTAGCATATGGTCAATGAGTGCTCCACATTTGTAAAGTTTTGCGATCAATGGGCTTAGCCTTACCTACAGTTTATTAGAATGTGAATAATAATTGGAGCATATTAGAACGTGGAAGTGCAAATTAAAATTGTATATTGATTATTATCATGAAAATTAATCATTTTTTAATTTTAATAATATTTTGTTGCAGCTTCATAGAAAAAAGAGAGAGAAGATAGATAAGGGTAATGTTAAAGATTTGGTTTATGTAAAGAATAAGGCCTTAATTCAATGATGCAACAAGAAAATATTGCAAAGACACAAATCTTCCTTTCTTACAACATAAATAAATGTAAACACTAAGATTGCAAATTAAGAGACAACTTCAACTACAAATGACAAACATAAACCATAAAACTTATCTATATTTTAGAGAAGAAGAATACATGTGGAGTGGAAACCGTAGATAGAGAAGAAGGGATTAGAAGACCGAGATGAATTTTAAGAGGAGAAGAAGAAAGAAGACCATAGCTCGCAAGCTATGTAAACCCGCAGGTTTTTACATTACACAAATTTTTATTTCTAAAACCCTCCTAAAACAACCACAAAACATCCCTTATATAGGGGAAGAAAAGGTAAAAAAAAAAAATTTAATACATATATTTAATGCACCTCAAAATCAGCCAATAGAATACCCTTGAAAACCGCAACAAGCAGGGACCGAAGGGGCAGCCACATGGGGAAGAAACCAAAGCATCAAACAGCCCCAAAAGTGGGGAAAAACCGAAGCATTAAATGGCTCATAAAGGGGAAACTAAAAAGGCATATTTTGGGAATTAAAATCGGCATGGGGAACACCAAAAGGCCTCTTTTGCCTACATCAATTCTCCTCTGGTTAAGAAATCTCATCTCCTGATGAGAATGCCTTGGTACACGTTGGAAAATATCAGGATGACGACGTTGCAAACTTAGGTTGAATGACAGTGCTTCCTTGATGTTCCAAATGCATTATTACTGTTGACAGATCTTTCTTTTAAAGTGAAAATTGGCTTGTTGATTATTTTAATTTT